AGGTATCATATACGACAATATTCATTTAATTTCCTAAAAGGTCCATACACGTAATCTTTCAAAATGTCAAAATGATTGCTGGACGTATTCATTGGCTACTTGTTCTTTATGAATGTATACAATATAAATGTTCATAAACCCCAAATCCCTCCCCTCCCCCCCCCCCGGGAAAAAAGTGTAAGATTCTGAAAAGATATACACTCTATCTATTGAGAATTACCATATTTTCACAATCATTTCATGAAAAAGAGGTAAAAGAAATTATTCCAACTTCATGGGCAACCGCGTAATTGACGTCAAAATGAGTTTCATTGAATGAAAGGGCTGAACATGAATCTTGTTCTGCTTCATCGACAAAAACACTTGTAGCAATTAGTTTTCATTTTTCTTCAGATGAGAACCAACTTACCCATCATTTCTGCTCGACCAAGTAAAATTAATGAATACAATTAGACATTAGACAAGGACATTTACGGGTAATTACTTGCGCACTTGAATAAAATATACGCACACCCACACGAACGCTCACACATGCATGCACATAAACGCACTTACACAAAGACATTGTACAACACAGAATTCCAGAAAGGTTAGGTTGGGTCTGTTTCGAAATGAAGATTTTTAATCGTGAGGATACTATAAGAGCATTCCGCATTTCCGCTGATCCAAGCTTAGTATTGCTGCAAAGTCTGGAAAATCTCTGACAGTCTGGCAAAAAACATCAACAAGTAAATTCCCTTTTGGAATTCCTTTCCCAGAGTTTTCAAAGAGATACCCACTCTCGCTTCTTCTTTCTCTCTCTCTCTCTCTCTCTCTCTATCCATTTCTATCCACCTACATACAGTGTATCTATTTACATTTTGTTCTCCCCTCCCCTTTATTTCTCAAACTCCATCTTTTAGCAGTAATGTGTTGCATCTTGTTTCATTTCTCTTTCTCTCTCGGTCTAGTATTTTTGTTTTCCTTTTTTTTCTTCTCTTGTATATTAATTCAAGAGTTTAATTCAGTGAACCTGCAACACAATAAACCTAGCTTATAAGTAGGTTTACTTTACACATTTCCGGTTTTAATGATTTACAGAACATCTTTCTATTAGGTCATTGATTACTATGATCTAAGATGAGTTAATTCCATATTGCTTAAACATACGTTAATTTTTTGCACAATATATTTGTTAATTTTGCACGGAACATACAAATAGATAAATTAACGAAAAAAACAAAAACAGCAAAAAAAAAAAAAAAAAGCAATGTTAGCCCCGAAAATGAATTTCATATTTCTGTAACCTCCCAAGCCGAGTTTAAAAACCATTAGCTGCGTCACATAATATACAAATAGTCCCTGTTTTCGATATAGCTTTCAAATAATCACGTTTGCATCATTTCATGTACCTCTTCCATTTCTCATAAAGTGAACACATAAAAAGTTCGTTATTGTCTTGAAGAGATTAATTGGAAAACATTACGCTGTCTGCAATCACAACAAGGAGGTCAAATTATTCAACGAAACGTGATCAGATTTTTGAAGGATTTCTTTGTGGATGTGCACGTTTTACTTTAATGCGGCTAATAAATCTAAAATCATTTTTTTGTCAAAGCAATACAAAAACATGAAAAGGCCTTTGTGATTTAGGCACAAAATGTGCGAATGCAGTGGCTGCTTTATCCATTTTAAAAGAAGCCCATCGTTTACCAGGCTATAAAAAGCCTCTTCATGTTCTCATACCCTTAAAAGAAAATTCATCCAGGATAATTTCTACATAATCATTCCACGATATGCACTTGAAATTCGGTTTCATTTTATTTTAAAGCAACCATGAAAGAAATCCTCGTAACGTCTTATAAGTTATGATTACGCATTTGAACTACTCAGTCCTACTCTCTTGCCAGTAAATATAGCAATTATCATTTTGCAACAAGCTCAACAAATGGATTATATTTCCTTAGCGATATCTAGGTGAAGCACCATCTCACAGAATCGGGCCGGAAAATCGGCGATGATTTCCCGCCACATGGGAGAAAAGTGTTTGATTATGTGAAATATACACTCGCATGACCGGGAATCGCCGATGACCCACTAGTATAGGTTGAATGAATGTTTATGAAAAAAATCATGCTCAAAAGAACGTAATGTACCTTTAATAGTATGCATTCCTTCCTTGACAATGACTGTATTCGATTCTAGTTCACTTTGTAAATAGATTTGATTGCATTCGTGATATAACCCAAAATGTACAATCGTCTTTTGAAATACCGTTTGATGAGAGTTAGCGTGGCGTTTACCCTTATCCTTTATATTTAAAACAGTTCTAATAATTTCTCTCTCTCAACACACCATAAATGGATCTTGATCTTGAATCTTGTAAATAATCCAAAGATTCCACGATGAAATATGACGACCAACGCTGAACCAAAAGAAACATTCAAATTATTCCATTTAGCGACGTAAACTTTCCGACCTTTAATCGCTTTTAAATTTGAGGACATACAAAATATTTTTTTCAAGATGCTCTAAAATAAACAATCGAAATCAAATAGCTCGATGCAAATTCTTATTTTTTTGTAGAATTGATGTAGAATTAATGCATACTTCGCTGGAGGTGATGTAAGCCATTTTTATTTCATTTTGATGTCAATTCAAGAATAGGTTTATTGGGCAATAATTTGCAGCCAAAGGCTGGATTACGCATGCTCACACCAATTTCTCAATATCACTTCACAATACATTATACACTCATGTATTGCATTTAAAACCAAACGAAAATTATATTTACTTAAGAATACAATGCCCAAGAAATATGTAAAAAATTCCCTTATGTTTATTAGGTGAATACAAATGGTTAAAAAAAGAGAATACGTATAGCTTATATATTTAAAATTGAGGATGGAATTGTATAAGTAGAAATTCATAATAATTTGCAAACACATGATATAGATATTTGTTTAATTCGGAAAAGAAAAGGTTCAATCTCAACTATTCACCACGACGTGACAATAAATAAACGTGATTTCATAGCTTAAAGTTTGTAAGGAAAAAATCTTTAAACTATCTGCAAATAAAATCATATTTTAAGATCATTTGTAATGCAAAATAATATCTTATTTGTGTTATTAGAGTTAAGTGATGAACAGATAAAGATAACAATTGACAAGTACCTTACACCTGGGATATCCTTGCATGCAGTTATAATGACCAAGCGGAGTAAATACTTTAATGTTTAACCCACGGAATATAGTCTTAAATCTATTCTTATCTATTCTTAATTGAAATAAGTTACACGGATAATGAGAAAGGTTATTTAAGAAATTGATATGAGAGTTTTGTATAAGCATTAACACAGTTATCATATGCTATTATAATTCAGTACTTTTATTTTCTCGTTTATCATATATATTACGATATACCTCAATTCAGTTTAAAAAGCTGAATTTTGTTCGTATGGATAGTGGAAAATATTTTATAGTTATGAATATGCATGCAAAAAGCTAAATTATGTTATTGAAACAAACGAAAGAAGCCTTAACCGAGTGACAATCGATATTATATATTATTATTATTTTTTACTTACCATTTTGTCATTTATTTGAATTAATAATGTTAATTCCAAACCTCATTCAACAAATGGTAAAAATATTTTGCCAACTTGGAATATTTCTTACTATCTTGTTTGGCATTAACATTATTCATTCAAAATATGAAAACAACCTTTTTACAACTGACAACGATATAATCACCTTGAAAAAAGTCAGTGAACTAAATTTTGGGTATTCTCTTAATGTTTATTGTTTATTTCTGAATTTCTGTAGTTGTTTGTTCGATTTGAAGTGTTTTTATTCTTTACTATATGTTGTACAGTTATGTCCTTAATCAGGTGGAAAACAGCTGTGGTGATCATGTTTGTATGCTGTATAAATACGTTACAATAAATAAATGAAATGAATCAATTATCGTTTACTTCAGTTTTATACTATTTGTATATTGTGTTTTAGTAGACTTTTAGATGACGTAAAATACAGAGTTTATATGAAGTAGGATTATGTGTTTTCAAAGACTAATCAAAGTTTGATGGCATTTCAAATTCGACACGAATACGTTAAACTTTCTGGGTCATGCACCTCAATGTTCACTTACAGATAGGGAATACTCTCCTTGACGAAGCTGAATCGTCTTAAGTCTGCTTAATCAAACAATACCTTTTCACGTAAAACTTGTATTTTCATTCAATAGTGTATGTACGAGTAGCATATATGAAAATCTTACGATAACTTTCAAAATAAAAAAGGATTACTTTCCACGTAATACTTGTATTTTCATTCAATAGTGTATGTAAGAATAGCATTAATTAAAATCTTACGATAACTTTCAAAATAAAGAAGAGGGTTCTTGGGATGACAATGGCGGTAAATATATGAAAGATAAAACAAAAATTGTGTGAATCTCAGTTCGACTTTTAAACCTTTTGGCATAAAATTAATCAACAGTTACCACTGCCCACCCAGGCGTAAATGGGTATCTCGTAATCACTGGGTAATGATAACAATTGCCGGGCTCTTAGGAAGAACAGCATTAATGTTGGTGAGGCATCCTTTGGTAAACAAATTTATTATTTGTAAAATAGATTTGTCAATTTACCGAACTTTTCATGAGGATATACTGTATTGTAAAGCTATTGAAAGGAAGAACAAAGCTTCGGTGTCTCAGTCACATCTGGACATCATCAACAACCTCCGAAATTCTCAAGTAACTAAAGGAAAAGGCTTCCTGGAAACATAACAATAGAGACAACATTTAAGAGTACTTCAAATCAAGACCTCGAATAAGTAATTAAATATTTCAATATAAACTTAAATGTTTAAAATACTGAAAAGGGCACAGCACATTCATTGGCGTATTATGAATAAAAGAAATCCGTTATACGCACCTGCTCCGTGCACTCTTAAAAAAAAAATCATTATTAATTAAATAAATGTGCAACAAGGAATGGACAATTAATTACTCACCTATAGACTATAATGATGGTTTCGTTGAGGTGGGCCGAAAACGAGGCTGTTATCCGAATGAGGCTCGTTATCCGAATGAGGCTCGTTTTCTCTTGATAAGTAATTCTAGGATACAAAGTATTATCAACTTTCACGCTATTGGAACGGTGTTTAAAAGCACGATTAGTTTTGAGAAAGTCTACACTTGCTTGGCAATTGCATTGACTTGGCTCCCTTTATATTTCTATAAACAGCGAGTAAATTATTGTATGAGGCGGGACACGGAACAGCGAGAGAATTCCAGTCAGGCGGGAAAAGAAATGAGTGAGAGAAAGAGCGCGAAACCGAGTCAGCTGTCATGAATGAATTGAAGGGAAAAAGAATTCATGCAGTAGTGTAAATTCCTCCAATGATACGTCCCAAGGGATATTTACGACTGCTCGGTATACTGGGGCGGAGCATAGGCTAATATCACGATCACACACAAGGCCTTTGTGACGTAAGTTTGGTGGATGGCAAACAAGTTGAATCACCGTCATCCAATGTTCTTTCTTATATGACAGTTTGCCATTGCTTCACTATATGATATGATATTAGCCAATGAGATCACGTGACCGCATTCTAATGAAGTCACGCCTCTAATAGCCGCGAACGGAGACATGTCGTAAAGAAGTCAGTTTTATGCATAGTATTAGCGAGCGGAAACGGATCAAACTTTATCACTAAATGTTCTTTTCTGCATTTCATAGATTTAATTGTAGATTTAATGTTGATTAATACTGAGTGGATTTAAAATTGATTATAAAAATTGTATCTTGTATATATTGTTATCATATTTTGTTCATAACTCCATAGTTGAAAATGTCATGTATCCAGATATACAAATATGTATAATTGCATATGTGGTGCTTACAATATCTCTTTGTTTCAGTTCAGTCTCTTTCTTCAACTGTTAAGTTAAGTGTATACTATTTATTCGCATCGTTCTAAATTTAATCCTGATTACTACTGGGTGGATTTAAAATTGATTATACAAATTGTAACTTTTATCATATTTTGTTCAAACTTCCATTGTTGAAACTGTCATGTATCCTGTATGTACAAATATGTATAATTGCATATGTGGTGCTTAAAAATTCTCTTTGTTTCAGTTAAGTTCTCTTTCTTCAACTGTTAAGTTCAGTGTTACACTATTTATTCGCATCATTTTAAATTTGCTACTGATTAATACTGAGTGGATTTAAAATTGATTATACAAATTGTTACTTGTAATTTTTATCATATTTTGTTCATACTTCCATAGTCGAAAATGTCATGAATCCAGTATGTATATGTATGTATATATATATATATATATATATATATATATATAATTGCATATGTGGTGCTTTATATTTTTCTTTGTTTCAGTCCAGTTCTCTTTCTTTAATTGGTAAGTTAAGTGTAATACTATTTATTCGCATCATTTTAAATTGAATACTGATTAATAGTGAGTGGATTTAAAATTGATTATACAAATTGTAACTTTTATCATAACTGTCATGTATCCTGTATGTATAGATATATCTAATTGCATATGTGGTGCTTAATAATTCCCTTTGTTTAAGTTCAGTTCCCTTTCTTCAACTGGTAAGTTAAGTGTTATAAAATTTATTCACGTCATTCTAAATTTGCATGGATTTTCTGATCACTCATCACTAAGAACACATCTAAAGTAGACGTAATTTGGTACTTAAAGATTCATATATTTTCTCGCTATCAAGGTTTCTAATACGAATTTCAGCTATTAATTCATAATAAAAACGCAGTTGGCATCTACTTTTTTAGATTGGCTACATGGTGTCTATGCATTTGGTTTTATAACGCTTTCCAAAATTTATGAGAGCAAAATTCATGAGATCAAATCGTGCTCCCTGGACATTAACAATTTCAACCTCAAGGTGTAATGTATAAAACTACAGCAAAAACGAAAATGCATTTTAAAGAAAGGTTAATTATGATTTTGCAGTTTTACATAATCTGTTTCGGCCTAAATTACAGTGATTACAAGAGGCTAAAGTATAACGGAATTGCAATCAATATGAAAAGTTGATAAGATATGTATCAGCTTGTACTTATGATTGAATATAAAGAAGCAAACAACCCTTTGCTTTTAAGGATTAATACTTCTACAGACATGGAGAAAGTTTAAAGTCAAACAGAATGATGTTATATTTGGGAAAAAAGAAAAGATCTTAAATATGAAGGGAAAAGCTGGTAAAGGAGTTCTACTGAAAGTTTTTAGGGCATACCATTTGCAAGTATAATTTTGTTTTCAACTGCCAAACTAAAAAAAAATTCTACTTCAGGGGGGTGTTTCACAAAAGAATAAGATCGACTCTAAGTTGGACTTAAATATGGGAGGCCATTCATGCCGCTGGTTGCTCTCGCCATTGATCTCTCAAATATGATCTTTAGATAGTATCTTCAATAGATAATCCTTCAATAATGAACTATCAACAAATGTAAATTCTGCAGATATGTGACCATGATTTGTACGTCCTTTGAGAGATCAATGTCAGTAAATGGTAAGAGAAAACGGTGGCATGAACGGCCTGCCATAGTATGTCCAACTTAAAGTCAATCTTAGTATTTGTGAAACACTCCCCTGAATTCCATGTGAGAGGGTGTGTGGGTGCGTACGCGCGTGTGTGTGTGCGTGCGTGTGCGCGTTGCTTGGTTGGTTTATCCCCTCCTTCCAAGCGGATTTTTGGGGAAGCTATAGTGATATAGTTTCATTCCCAAACGTCATTCCTCAATTATTATCATAAATAATTAAGTTGCTTTTTGATAATCCTAATATCTATTGAACATCTTCCTCTCATAAATCTCTATTCTTTATAGATTCATTCCTTGTTTGCTAAGAACTTCAAATTGTCTGCAATTCTTCCTCGTACACAATTAATATGCTGAGGTGTCTAGAGACGCCTTAAAGGGACTCGGTAACATTGCCTCAAATTCTGAAACAAAATCCTGGATTTAGCTCATGCTGCAATCATAATTATAAACCTTTAGGTCAGTAAGGAACCACATGAATTTTACAAGCTGATCGCCTGTCTGATTATCAAGATATTTATGATTGGAAATCGAAATCAAATTTTGCGTTTTCCTAACGGTTTTTATATCACTACAGTCTATTGTGGGGAATAAGTATGGTAAAACAGGTCACTCAGAGATTTTTACTTTTTTGAGGCACTTCATGATCATTTTGAAGCCAAATTGTTTTAGGGCTTCAATATTACACCATATCACAGACACTGATAACACGTAGGGCTATGCATCTCAGATTTAACATTGCTAAACGATGCCTTTAAGTAAAGAAAAAACTTCTATGAATCTGATAATTTGCAACAGTATGCTTAAAAGAATGGGACTTCGATGCGGCCTTCCAGTTTATGAATTTTAAACTTGGCCATCCTCTCTTTACTAGATGCTTTTTAGGTATTTTCATTTTTTTTCTTCAAATATTTTGTTTGTTGATATTCTATATTTGTTTCATATTTGTTTACCAATGTTAATGTGTTTAATAAATTTTACTCGTTTTTAAAAAATGTGCACGGATACGCTGAAAAGCAGTCTGTTTTGACTGTTGCAAGATTTTACCGTGAATAAATGAATACAATACAATACAAATACAATACTCAACAAAGTTTCATTGACCAATTTAAGGTTTGTTTCTCGTCCTGTGATTACGGAAAATAATTAAAAAAACACCCAATTATTACGACTACAATGTACGTCAAAGGAAGGATGGGAGGTGAAAGAATTGACTATGCCCGCTCCCTGAAACACTTTAAGGTACTATGTCCCATTTGCAGCCAACATCAAATTCTGTAGAACTTTGCAGGAATTATGAACATGTCAAGTATGTCCTATCCTATCTATTTAAACGTTAGCGGCGTCCTAATATTCAAATTATGCAAGGAAACCCGTTTACTTTCTGGCCTTCACTGTCAAACACTATTGAGCGACTGACTGACTTTTTGTTCTTTCTTTGGGAATAACATTCTTAAAATATGCTGTGCATGAACATTCATCAACAACCCAATTCTTGTAATGGCCGAAATTAAAATGATGGAATCTTTAGTGATTGCAATCACTAAAGTAGATTCGACAACTAATGGTCGTTATTTTTCCACTTAGAGACATTTTCAAGCCCTTTCGTCTTGAGGGAAGTTCTTAATTGGTACTATCTTACAAATGCCGTTGGAATTTAACCCTTTCGTTTTTTGGCCTGCAAATGGGACATCGTACCTTTTAAAAAAGCCTTGCCTTGGTTGGTTAGTTTGTTTTCCTTTTTTGTAATAAACGTGAATTTTTGGGTAACGATGTGTGACAAAGACTTTCACAATGTTCATACTATCACGACTCATATATGCGCCTTCATCTTGCTGATTCTATATTGAAACAGACATTATTTCATCAAGAACATGCAAGATACCGTTTGATAATTGTCAAAAATTCCTCAGACGCCTTCGTCGAATGTTACTTCTGATATTGTTCTTCATCTCTTATTCTTCTTGTCCTCTATGAACACTTTAAGCTTATCTGCCATAGTTTACAGGAGGGATTAGACCGCCCTACAAGGTCACAGGACAGGTGGTTATCTCATCAACTCAGCTCTCAGTTAACATAAGAAAAAGAGGATCACGGGGGACCAATGGTCACCGATTAGGCATTGTTTGTTATATAGAGGGCGCAAGTAGCTACAAGTAGTGCAGTGCCCCTTTAAAACAGTACAAAGAAAAAAGTGAAACACTGTTTAAAGTGTTTAATCCTCGAAAAAAGTTTTCACCAAATTATTGTTTTCTTCTTCTTTTTACTGAAGACAGGTCTTCTATTTCTCTTGTTTATCATCTTGACAAAGTGAATTTATTTGACTTTATAAATATGTTATTCCTGTCCAACTTGTATCGTAAAATGTAGGAAAAATCCGGGAGGGGGTGGTATGTATCTTTAATGTCCTGAGAAAACAGCATTCACTAGAGACTGGTCCAGGGTTGAAAGCGAAGGGTTTGAAGGGTTTGGGAGAGGGGGCGAGATATATGTAAAACCGTCACAACGGACGATACCTTCGAAGCCGAGTGGACAGGTTAAATGACAACAAAGGGGCGGTCAAATCTTCCCCTATAAAGTGGAGATCCGCCTTCTGGGACATCTACCATATATTAAACAACAAGATGTTATTTTCGGAGCTTGCTTGCAAATCAAAATCAGGAGGCTGTGGAAGAAAGACTCTGTGGGAATAGTGCGACTCAACTCATTCTAGGATGGAGGAAGGTGTGAGGTTTATTGACAAGAGGGTGGCAGATCCTGACGCCTTGCTTCAGAATATTTCGACAGCTTTCTCCGGGTAACAAGAATGTTAAGGTTTCTTTTGAACTGTAGAAGGAAAAATCAACCCCCACACTACCGGGGGACTCAAACATATAAAATAAAGGCAGACGTATATCAAAAAAAAAATTAAAAGGAAAGATAAAAGGGGA